AATTATTTATTGTAAAATCAATATTATATTTTTTTATCTAATTAAGCAATTTTTTTATAAATAAATTAATTTTTTTAATGTCATATATAGTAAATTTTTTTAAAATTGCATAAGCAATTGTTATATTAAATTTAATATTATTTTAGCTAATTAATTGGTCGTGATCCCTCAATCTTATATAAATTAAATTATTTATTACATTTTGTGCAATCAATATAGTGATTCGAACGCAATTAAGTCATTATGTACTACTTATTTTAACCGATTATCAATTTTTAAACATAATCCTATTATATAACTTATAAGTTCAACAGTATATATGCATAAATATAACTTACAATACTCTATATTTAAAATATAACACTATTATCTAACTTATAATTTCAATATTATATGCATACTAATAACTTATACTACCTCCTATTTTTTTTAAATGTCATTCTAGCCTTTTCAACTATTTGCCAAATAAATGTCATTTTGAATCTTTTGTACATATTTTTCCATTATTACTCTCATTTAGCCAATAAATACATTACGTCTTTTTATATTCTCTCTTCACTTTTTTCTCAAAACATCAATCTCTATCTTCATTAAATAAGGTTATTATTGACAAAAAAAATATTCTTAATTAGTGTGCAAGTTCTCGAAACGACATATATTAAAAATAGGAGGTAGTAATATTTATTTATATCTGTGCATATGCACAGTGTCGTCGAATACTAGTTGTAATACTAAAATAGCAAAAAATCCAATTAGTTGAAGCCATAATTGTGAAGTTAATGGTATAGTAGGATTTAATTTAACCACTGGTTAATAAAATTACCTGCCACTGGTAAGCTTTGAGCACTGCAGGGCTCACCCATTCCATAAATATTTTCCCGTTTATCAAACTACATATTAATGCAATCTGAAAAAAAATAAAAAAAAAATAAAAAAAAAATTAAATTAAGATTTGATATATATTTAATTACATGCATTTAATACAATATCATGGGTGCATATTTATATATTGATAAAATTAATTATGATCACCTTGGAAAATGGTTCACCATTGGATATGAGGTCCAACAATTCAACGGCCGTGATTGCGCCTGCCACTGCCCCCACAACAAAACCACGGAAAATCCCAGTTTCTGTGGTCTGCCCCTTTATTGCTCCTGTGAATGAACCTATAGTAGCTCCCACTATAGATATAGAATAATAAATAAATTATAATCATAATAAAAAAGATTCCGAAAAAATAAATAAATAAATAAATAAATAAATAAATAAAACTATCTCAAAATAAAGATCACACAACACATAGTTGAAAGTTGAAACTAATAGTTCTGGCAATAGCTAGATTGCTAGAAAAAACCCCATAAATAAAATAAAGAAAAATAAAATGAGAAGGATGCAATTAAATCCTTATTAGCCTCTACATATTCGTGAACAAGTAATAAGATTATGGAAAATGCTACAGTCTCGTTACATAATCATTTCGTTGGGATTTGTAACCGTTACATCATCATGTAACCGTCGTGGATAGTTGATATAACCAAGGTTTTAAATAGCGGGCTAAAACGTTTATGGCACTGTAGCTATAGCGGAGCTATAGCGGAGATTTAGCGGGATTTAGCGGCTAAATTGCACATGAATACAAATAGCGGCACGCTGCCAAAAAAAGCTATTTCTCAAATAGCGACAACTTTAGCGAGCTATTTATTTCCTTGGATATAACACTTACAAATCTCGACTAAGATTATTTATTCCCTTTCCTCACTAACTT